GGCTCTTCTCACGGCCCTGATGGCTCTTGCTGCGGCCCTCATGGCTCTTGATTTTCTTGCCTCCCCTCTTTTTGATTCTATTCTTGATCTTTCTTCTGGGTTCTTGGGTCCCGTTCCCGCAACTAGCAGACTGAATTTGACTCAGCGGCAACAGATCCAGTGTCACAAACGGTGGCGAGCCTCGTCTCGACCTCCACCGCCGTCTCCGGAATCTCGAAGTTTTCCTTCTGCTTCCGCCAATGCGCTGAGCTGCCCATGCAAACTTGCCAAATCGAAACCATCGCCTCAGAGCCTTAGTGACATCACGATCTGAAGGAGCATGGCGCATACGTCCTCGCCGCCTTCTCATCACAAGGACTCTGCGCAGTCGCCTCAACCGAGAAAGGCGACGCCTGTGCATAAAGGTATTCTGCGGATGCGTACGACCACACAGAATGAAAGCGATCCCGCCTGCAACAAGAGTGCAGCAGAATCCAATCCCCAACATAAAAAGGACCCACAAGAGGCATTCCTCACCGACTTCCTGCCAAAGCAGCATGTCAGTGTGATGCGATGTGGAGTGCCTTGTAGCATCGGCTTTTGTCAATCCCCCGCAAAAGCAGATAATTGCGAGCCATCGCGAGCCCACCTTGTTCAAGGACAGCTTCCCACTAAGGCTCCCCACCATGGCCTTGAAGAAGGCCACGACCCCGCTCATGATCTGTTTGCACCTCACAAAGAGGCCCGTGTGCGCCGAGGCATACGCCAGGAGGCCGATCATGATTAGCACACTGAAGTAGTAATTACCCATGGCAGCTGCAACGTTGCCACTGATCTCGATCTGGTGGTTCTCAAAGACCACTGCAGACCAACCCTTGCCACCATTGATGGCAAAGCCGCCATCCTCTGCATAACCATTCGCAATGTTCGAGTTACCCACAAAATACGACAAGGCACCAGTCGCAGTCGGCCGGAACTGGTTCACGGATGCCAACGTTGGTTTGAAGAGCACGTCGGAGTGGCCATAGCCGTAGAGTTCGGCTGCTGCTGCTCCTGCCACTGCCACGAAGTCACCACCAGCAAGGTAGGTGTTTGAGATGCTCAGGACAGCGTCGGCCCAGGCATCCTGCACCAAAAGCACGTCGTTTGCTGAGATGGCCATGCTGGCACTCCCTTCCTGAGAGTCCGTGAAATCCTGCACCAGCACTGCCACAGCAATTGAGACACCACACGTCACCAAGGCCAGTAGACCCATGCAAATCATGCCACCCATCAGCCTCTGGTTGGTCTTCTGTAACGCAAGAAAATCTTTGGAGAAGTCCTTCGATGCCTTGTCCACTGCAGTGTTGGAGACGTCATTGGCCGCGTCCATTGTGGCTCTACTCTACACTCTACAGTACAGAAGAACGTGTGTGTAAACGTCCGAGGAGAGACAGCTTGAGTCCAAATGGCTGCAGCCGCGTGCTGGGAGCCTTCCCCAGTCTCGGCACTCAGGGCCAACAGCTGCACGTTATCACGGTCTTTCAAACCTCAATGCTTGAGGGAATAGCATTTCGTAACAGTCATCAGTTGTCGATTTTGTCGAGAACTAGATCACTGTGAAGCCCCAACGCTTTGGGGGCACAGTCCTTTGGCGAGAGAGCCCGGTACAGTACAGCTGAGTTAAGGAGTTGAGTAGAGCTTTGGATCATGATAACAAACCTGAAGGCCTGAATGTCTTTGATCATCTGATAACTCCCCATCATATTTGAAGAGAGAAGCCTAGTCGGCCTTCGCAAACTTCTACAAACAAAGCACTTCCAGTACAGGGTTTGGGTTTCAAGGTGTTTTAGTGCAAGTCTTGTGGCAATCGGGGAAAAAAGGATGGTATCTTTCGAAAATACCGGGAGTCAGTATGCGGAATAAAGGGGACATTTATTTTCCAGAGACTCTGAGACTCAATGTTCGGCTTGATGCGTGTTCTACAGGGTCTCTAACAGCGTTTTCGGGGTCTGATCTACTAGAGAGGTCTTAACTGGTCACCAGCATGGGCTTTGGAGGGGGTATCTGATGGTTCAAAGTGACAACGAAATTCTCACACAAAGGCCATGAATCCCTGGCTTCAGCGGAGGTGTTTTCCAACTGCTTCCGCTTCGGTGGCGTTCGGACATCGTCGATCGAAGTGCGCCCCTTCTCCACCGCCACCTGCGAGTCGCGCCACTGCACTCGGAATCTCTCGAGGCATGACTGTCGTGGTGGTTGTGGCTGAACCGCGACCGGTACACTCGTGTAAGGATTCCCCAAGGAGGTCGTGATAGTCGAGGAAGAGGCCGCCCCCGACTCGTTGGTATCTGGCCGTAAGACTTGCCTCGGGTCATTTCGTGTCAAGTCCACAGCAGGGTGGACGGAGAATCTCGGAGGCACGACCTTTCCAAACCTCGCGGAGCTGTCGGCGTCGGGGTGTGGTCGTTTGGGCATGGCCTTGGTCTTAGTGCTCACGAGAGTCGTAGTAGCGGCAGCCCCAAAGGATGGGTTGATCCACTCGGATTCACTCGCGGAATTGGCCACCGGCCCAGAGCTCCTTGGGTTCATCGATGTCGCAGGGTTGGCTGTAGTAACCACGGTCGGAGGAGTCGGTGGTGGTGTCGCGGAATCATCGTCCTCGTGCCAAGGATCTGGCGACCTCGGCCTCGTCTGCGGTGTCGTGGTAGTCGGTGGGGCCGCCGGAGTCGTGGCTGGTGTCGAAGCGGCGATCTCATCCGGGATTTCGACGATCACCGGGGTCTTAGAGTCGAGCCATCTCTTCGCCGGTGACGGGGATCTCTTCGGGAATCTCGCCGGAGAAAGCGGTCGTTGTGATCCCCTGGCTGCTCCATCGCCGTGGCGGAAAGCAGTTCGGGGTTCACGGCCGAAGCTGGGTGCATCGGAGTCCGTATCCGTGCTGACCTGGAAGAAAGTTCTCCTTGGTGTCGGCGGAGTCGGCGTAGTCGAAGGTGCCGCCGATGGGAACGCTGCCGGAGGTGCTGTCGATGGGGCTGCTGTAGAAGGGGCTGACGAGGGAGCCGCTGAAGGGGGCCATCGGGGTCTCGAAGTCGGGAAAATCGCTCCCCGTGTCGGAGTGGGGTGTTGTCCCCAGGTCGCCGGAGGTCTCGATTCCTCGCGAACTCTACGGGGAGAGCGTCCTCGACGATGCAGGCCATCCGCGATTTCTTGTCGTAGTTGTTGGGCAACATCAGATTTATCCCACGATTCGTAGTCGTAGTACCGAAGGAAGTTTGTGCCAAAGTTGAACTTGCGCATCTCGGCGGAACGGAAAGTGGTCATCGAGTCCATGATCCACTCACGAGCCTGTGCTCGGTTGACCTGCTCGATGATTCCGTTCTTCGACGAGTAATGGTAAGGTGGTTCACCTCGACGATTCTGTCGCTGTACTACGAAAGCCTGTCGCATAGCTTCGTCGAACGTGTGGCCATGTTGATTCCAGCACGTATTGTGGTACTCGCAGCATCCCTGGAACCATTTGTGGCATATGAGGTTGGGCACTACCCACTGTTTGTTGAGGAAATCGGGGTGAAGAAAACCACAATTGGCCATGTTACAGTTCTTCTTCTCGAGAAGGCGGGGACAAAGCTGTCGTCGTATCTCGGAGATGGGGACTTGGGCCGTGTCGCTGACTACTTCGGGGTACTCGTTAAGCATCGACTCTGGAACAGGGGCCGTCATCTTCACCAACGTGCCCTCGCAGAGAAAATCGAACCATGAGTCGGCTCGGGTACGTGCCATGGCTACGAATTGGCTAGTCCAAATCGATGGTAATCGAAGTAGTGGGCTTGAGATGCCCTTCGAAGTTCCGCTTTCGAGCTTTAGAGGCAGCGGGTTCGGGAGTATGTAATTCCATGCCGAAATCATCACGAAAAATGTCTGCCAAATGCTGATTATGCAGATCGGTCTCATGCACAAGAAGAGCAGCGTCGGTGTCAGTAGGGGTGCATGATCGGAGTCGGGGTGTAGGGAAGCCTCGACGATCTCGAACGGCACCGTCAGCGGCTCCGCGGACTCGTCGCGGTTGGTGATGTGCAGGTACAGGAAGGCCTCGAGGTTGGGCGGTTTCAACAAAGTCGCCGCAAGATTGACAATGTCGTTCGCCGTCTGACACTGGGCGATATGATCGAGTGCCTTTCGTATCTGTCGGGATTGTCGCTTGTTCCAAGCTCCCCACGTCACATCCTCGGGTTTCTCGACTTGAAAATCTTCGAGAACTTGCTCGCGGCTGAATTCCTCGAGCGATTCCTTCAGACTGTCAACAACTGACAGAGAAGCCGTAGTGCTCGAGGTACTGGCCGCCAGCAGCGGTCGTAGTAGTGCTCGGGGTACTGGCCGCCCGGGCGGCTATGACCGAGGAGTGATCCGAGGGGACTGAAACAAAATTTCGCTCAAGCTGTAACAGCTTTCGCCAAAATGGCCACGGAGTATACAATCATTCGACATGAATCGGTGAGTCAATCCCCTGACCGATTCGGTGTTTAAGTGAGATATGAAGTTGTCACTTCGCACAAACAAGTGTGTGCTACACTACACTGATAACAAGGAGCCCCTTGCATCCTCGCGGGACACGTCTTCACAAAACCATCTAAACAGGCAGACATGCATACACGCTGCGGATGAACGGACTGACTATAATATGGGAGAGTCAGTGGAGTAAGTGTCCGATCGTTTGTACGCGGTACACTTGGCTGATGTTGTAGTCGATTTGGAGGAAGTAGGGTCCTACACGTTCAAGTCTTGCCAGTTGGTGTAATCTCATGTACTGAGACTGCAGCTTCCCTGTGGACAACTGATGTGTAAATCTGCAGACACTTTGTGCCAAGTAGGCACATGGGTTGAGCCTGGGCAATCCATGTCACGATAAACTGGGAAGCTCTTAGGCAGCGCTTTCCAGAATGTCCACTGCCCCGCTGCTTGCAAATACAAGTGGCACAAGTGACCTACAACGCTTAGCCTCTCAAGCCCCTTACTTTGTCTGCTGCCACTCAGCTTGCAGCTAAAACTGCCCTGGAAGCACGCTGACGAGCGCGTGCACCTGGATTCCAGCAAGCTGCACAGCTTCGTTTTCAGACAAGGAAGACTTCAGTCCCTGACTCTCTTCGGTGAGCCTTGACTCGGCCTTGAGTCTAAGATGAAAGCATAGACAATGAGAAAATGGCTGAGTCGACCACGAGCTGCGTTCCCTCCTGCAGCTCCTCAGGAAAAGCTTCGATTCGAAGCCCTTCTTTCCGACCAGCATCATGGGTAAATTCCTTTCGTTGCAGAGCTGGTCCTGAAGGGTGGCATGGTGCCGCAGATCCTCGGCAGCCTTGAGCCATGCCTAGCAAAGGCATGGCACGAAGGGCTTTTCAGCATGTGCATTTCACTTTACGATAGTCGCTTCCTAACCCGCAATTAACAAAGGCTTCTGTAGCGTTACGGGCCTCCAATACGAAGTGCTTGAGCCGCTCCACGTCTCAGAAGTGCCGGTAAAAATGCTGCTTGGAATTATATATCAGCAATGTGGCCCTGAGCCTTCGACCTTTCGTGCCCAGAAGAGCATTCACTGAGGAGGAGATCGGAAGACGCGTTCCATTCTTCACCTTGCTGTTTCGCACCAGCAAAGCCGAATATCATCTCTTCTATTTCAAGAATGAGACCTGTCTCATGAGGGCATCTGCCTGACAACACGCACTCAAAAATTACCTCTAATAATACAAAACTGCGTGGTTCGGATGGTGCAGTGGTGACGCCACTGCAGTCTCCTGCCTCGCGATCGACTTCTCCTTAGGTGCCACACCATCGCTGCTGCAGCTCTGCAGCAGGTAGGTAGGCACTGCGGCCATTGTCACTGGGCTACCAGCGCGCTTCTTTTCGTGAGCTGCAGGCCCAAATCGCGAGAACCTGGACAAGTGAAAACAGCGAGCCGGTAGACATCGATTACAGTTATGCCGCTAGGCCCTCTCCATGACCTTCGGCGCTCGTACGCGCTTGCAGCTCTCCCTTCCCTCGTTTCGATCTGGATGAGAGCCACTGGGGCTTCCCGTCTGCCCGTCTCCTACCTGTGACTATACTGAAATCTTCCATCCCGTCACAGGTCGTCCTCGGGCATTCTCCGATTGCCAAAACCAGTCTGTTGAATGTGCGGTGTGTTGTGTCCAGGTTCAGCGTGCATCCTATGCTTGGCGGAAACACTGGACTCTGACTCTGCCTCGCGGCAGAAGCCTAGACGCCAGAATCGAAGACGCCGGAGAATAGCGTTGGCGCAGAGCACGCCTTCCAGGGCAATAGTGCTCAAACTCTTCAGTCTTGCGCACTCGGAGCTGCTCGACGAGGCTCAGCTAGCGGCGCAGTGCCCTTGCTTCACGCTGCATTGGTCTGACCTCGTCGGGGGTTGCACAAGCCATGCCCGCGAAGTTCATGCACTGAATCTAGAAGGGCTGGCACATCTGGCACCCATTTTTTCGAAGCGATTCCCACATCGACGGGACGATGGTAAGACTGGCAAAGGCACGCAAAGAAACGATTCGCACAGGCCAATGCGAGGAACTGTTCGAATAGCCCGTATCAGGCATCAGCGCAACATGGCAGCGAGTCCAAAATCCTACTTGTTTTGACGTTCCAATTTGCTGTGCAGCTTTGAAACCTCTGCCACAACTATAAATGAATCGCGAATGTTGCATTTGGCTTGTTGCGGCACAAGCATCCATCAAATGGGACCTTGCGGAAAAGACTCGCTGCAGCCAAACTCATAGACCGTGGTCTGTCGGTAAACTTCGCCTGGTCGTAACCTTGCTGAAATGCATACAGTGCATGCACGTTCTTCGCTTGTCGGGTAAAAAGCAGCCTGAGATCAGCACACGACCGAAGGGAAGTGTGGCCGGTTGGCTGCCTGCTATGAACCAGACTAATGCGAAGTCATGCATGGTCCAAGCGATGCATTCGGTGCGAACAAGTGCATTGGTCATCGCCAAGTTGCATCCGGAAATTTTTGCGCTTCGAGGCAAAAGCCATGGTGCTTGTGGTAGGCACCTTTTCCGGCGCGACCTGTTACGAACACTGTTTAACTCGACCTAACACTGTTGCATCGTGCCCTTGCAGCGGACCTGCGAAGCCGTTCAAGTAGTTACCGGTATAAAATTGCACCTGAATCTGAATAGCACAAGCTGACATCGTACAGACATTTTGGCTTGTGCAAACGATTGGCATGGACTGCATAAAGTCACCCAATGCAGCATCAGCACGCCGGGCTGGTTCGTCTTCATGGACATCCAGCGGCCACTGCTGGCCTCCCAAGCCTGGGAAACACCGATCTGCGCATCGCCAAAGGGCCAGCTCGCTGAGTTCGGTGCACGCGCTGCTGGGCGAAGCCCCGATTCGCTGGGTGGGCCCAAGACATAGTTGTGGTCGTAGCCAAGGCCTTCACAAAATCAGTCACGCACTGAAGCCACGCAGGAAAACTGGTGGGGAATGCGGAAAGCATGGCATACAGCACTTATGCGATCGGTGAGGAGGAAGGATATGGAGGGGGGATATGGGGGGGGATTTGGCTTGGTGTCAAAGCAGCTGGATTCGGAGCTGGACATTTCGCCAACACATAATGCGCTGTTGCTGCTGACACACGTCATTTCGTGCACGACATCGCTCACTCACGAACGTGCGTGGGAAACGGCCGGCGAACTTTTTCCGATCGCACATGCATCGTGAATCGAACATTACATCGGGCCCACTGTGCGACGCGAAGCGAATCACCATAGGTGCGCAGCACGCACCACTACAATACTCTGCAGAAGCTCAAGCAAGAAAGCCACGAAAACCATTTGATATATGGTTTCCTTCACGCCTTGTGACTGCATCGCTGAAGTTGGCTTGCACTGCGGCTGTTTTTGCAAGCCGGCTGCTGCTGCCAGTGTCGTGGCCACCAAAATGATAGTTGCGCAGCATATCACTTGCTGTCCCCCGACATTCTGCAATGCTGGTCCTCAGTCCCTTCCGTCGTCGCAAGTCTCAGAAGCCAGGTATCAAGTCCTAAATTAAATCACGTTTGATTTATGAATGGGGCCGGATTAATACATTGATTATTCGGGCCGCTTCGGCCCATCGCTTTTTAGGAAGACGACAAGCCTGCAACCGGGCCCCGGATGCCCAAGCAATAAAATGGGGTCGTTATAAGAAAAAATGCTCGGGCGGCCCTGAAAAATTGTATGGCCAGACTCTTCTAAGATGAGCAAAAGCAATAAGCCTATATAAGCCGTTTGTAGCTTTCCGTATCCTCCCTCGCATGATTATTCCAACCACCTCAAGCCTTTGGCTGCGGTCCCGGTCCGCACTTATTCGTATCATGGCCGGAGGGGGGGGCGGGGAGGGGCATCAATCAAACCCACACATTAAAGTCCTCCAACTCCTATTCCGCCACACCAGACTTTCGATGAAGCCAGGGCCCCAAACCCCGCTGAACCACCGTCAGGGGGACGCGAGCGCCTGTGCTGATGGCTGGGCTGGTTGCGCACCATTCTTGCCTTTGTTGCCATATGTTGCCAATCAAACACGGAACCAGCCTCGTGACAGTAAGTCGGCCCTGTTCCTTTTGATGCCCGGCATGGCCAATGACGCACGGCGCGGGAACAAGGGGCAGACAAATGCCTCACGCGCGCATGAAACGGAGATCTTCACAGCACAACCACAACCCACACCCCGCTCGGTCATTTCACCCTCCGTGGCTGTCTTGTGGATTGGCAAGACCATCCCGAAAATGAGCACAAGAGCAGGCTCTCGCCATCTCGATCTCGCATATGCAAACATATGCCCCTGCCAGAATGGCATCAATGGCTGCTGGCAAATCCTGCCAAGAAACTGCGTGGATCTCCGGACCGAGTGCAATCCTTGATTCCGTCATGTAGGTGGGACCTGCAACGTGTCACCGCCTGACCTGAAAGGAAATGCCCGGGCAAAGCTGCTGATCGATGTTGGCCCCTCTCAAGCGAAGCCCCGACTGCTCTCATCCGATGGGAATGCCGTCGCATCCCATCACATCCGGGAAAACACGGATGAATGGCAACCTGAATCCTTGATCTGATTCACCAACATGTGCTCAAGGCTATGCCCACTTGTGACATCGTTGCGCGCCCGAGCTGGAGAGCTCCCAGGAGGTCCAACAACGGAAGCAGCAATCGAGCATCATCCACACAACCCAGGAATGCGGCGCCAAAAGCGCATGTCGGAGCTGCTCGTAGAACCGATCGACGACCTCAGGTCCCGAGATCCCCTCAAAATCGACAAGCTCGTCAATCGCCGGCAGGCCAACTCCAAGCCAGAAGGAGAACACGAGGCCAAAAGATACAAAGTGGCAGCACGAGCCGGAATCTACAGCATCCGCTCTTGCTCCAATTAGTCAAGCCATGCATGCTGCATGTATCAACAAAAACTTGAAGTCTCGACGGATCGCTGCTACGACTGCTACGGCACATGTTGCTGTCGCTCGTACATGTCACTCCGTGCAACAAGTTGCACAACATGTGTCACGTTGCCGTCGACTGTTCCGAACCTTCAAGAACACTAGATACACTCACATCACAACAGATGCAAATCAAAATGGAATGTCACCAACATCCCTGGTTTCCTTTGACATCTGGTGCGTTCATTTTCCCTCCATCCTCATGTCCGTCCTTCGGGGGTGCTGGCTGAGGCTCAGGGGCACACTGCGGCGACTGCGTGGAATGACCCGCCCAGCTGCTTAAAGCTTGCATACATGTCGTTTCTTCCAAGGCTGTGGTCGAAGGTGCTATCATCGAGTGGACAGAACTGTCGGAATCGAAAACAACCCATCTACCGAAAAGAGCTGTTCCCTGCGCAACTGTAAGCGTCGAGCCGTTGTCAGCCGCCCGAATCTGAGTGCCTTGGCTCCCCCTTTCTCTGACTGGCCCTGGCGTCCTGAAATCCCACGCCTTCTGCCAAGGCACCGATCCGAGTCTTCTGGCGCAGGTCCATGGCCCCAGAAACGCTCCGAACCTCTCCAGTGGGAATGGAAGTCTCGTCCACTGGCCTCGGCGGCATGGAGGGACACATAGAAAATCTGCGACCGCAGGCGACCACATTGCTTGCTGCACAGCGTAACTTCGACATCATTCCCATCGAGGATCGTGTAGAAATCTGCAAAGATCTGAATCCTTGCATGAAGGCCGCTGGCTGTAAAGAGGCTCAACTCGGAATCATGCAAACATCAACAGATGCGAATCATGCAGGCCACATCTTTGCTCCAAGAGTCTCATGATTGCAGACATCCTGAACGCCAGTGCCACCATCAGCAAGGTTCCAGTATGCCTTAGCATGCCATGCTGAGGCACAGGCGATGGGCAGTAAATTTGCTGTAATTGTTGGGGCCAAGAAGAACCTGGTAGAAAAGAACCAAGCAGTGACACGTCGCCTCCCCAAAGAGGTCATGAAGAGCGAGCCCCAGTTGCCATCATTGCTCACAGAGGCCCCTCATCTCCCAAGAAACTGAAACCCTACATCGGTACACGAAGGTTTCAAGCATGCACCAAATGTCAAAGACCATCCATGGCCATCCGAATAGTTGGTTTGCACATGTAGTGCTGCAAGCAAAGAGCGTGGTTTGTCAGGTTGCACAATGTTGGCCTCAGCTGTGAAAATGAAATCAAAGCCTTGGCACGAGAGTTTCTGCCGTGTCTTCCTTCTGAACGGTGAATCCGAGCCGCGCATCGGTTGTCGCTTCATATTCCATCTTCAACGAGCTGGACGTCGGCAACGAATAAGTCACCCTGACGAAGCGTGGATTGTCACTCCGCCATGGTCGCAACGTGTTGCACCGGGGAAGGTGGTCGTCTGAAATGCAAGGAATGCACCACCGGACCCTAAGACTAAGACCAAGCGTGTGCGCTGCACGTGCCACTATGCTGCCGGCTGCCACTACAGGAAGCTGCAGCGAATATAGTGACTAGCGTCTGCACCTGGCGCGGAGGTTTCCCGGGTAACCTTCGTCGCCATCAGGCGAGAGCAAGGAGAGCGTGATGGACGTCGCATCTGAGGCCTTGATAGTTTAACGGATCATGATAGTGCTGGTGTTGTGTGGTTATCCTCCTGGGAAGCCGGCGTCGCAGGTCCACATGAGCTTATCAAAGCCCTGGTTGCCTCCATGAAGATGGTTGGGACCTGAACTGTGAACAAGTGTCGGAGCTCCGAGAGAGGACCCTGAGATCATGACCATTGTTGGCCGCAAGCTCATAATCCTTGCCATCCAGCGTAAACTTGCCTCAAGCAGCGAAAGACGAAGAAGCAGCAGCAACAAAACGACAACGTCAACGTCAAAAATACCAATAGCACCAATACCACCAACAGCTTCAATAACGCCAAAACAAACAGCAAAAAACACCAGCACCAACAACAACAACAACAACAACAACAACAACAACAACAACAACAACAACAACAACAACAACAACAACAACAACAACAACAACAACAACAACAACAACAACAACAACAACAACAACAACACAACAACAACACAACAACAACAACAACAACAACAACAACAACAACAGCAACAACAGCAACAGCAACAGCAACAGCAACAGCAACAGCAACAGCAACAGCAACAGCAACAGCAACAGCAACAGCAACAGCAACAGCAACAGCAACAGCAACAGCAACAGCAACAGCAACAGCAACAGCAACAGCAACGACGACAACAACAGCAACAGCAGCAGGAGCAGCAGCAGCAACAGCAACAACAACAACAACCACACCCGTAACCACAACCACAAACGACAGCGACAGTCACAGCGACAACCACAACGACCGCAACAACGCCAACAACCGCAACAATCACAAAAACCACAACAACCGCAGCAGCCGCAAACACAACCAAAACAAACAAACCCTCTCATGTGTCAATTCGCTCGTGTCGATTTTCAACCCATGCAACGTCCCGAGGCCTTTGGCAATGCGGTTCGCACATCGTCCCGCGACCTTTAAGATAGCTGACAGGAACGGATCCACATGCTTCATGACAGACTCATGAGGGTGAAGCCGCTTCTGGATAACACCCGGAATCAAATGCGCAGGCTTTCTCTGGTCACGCCATGGGACGGCGCCGAAGTAAGGGTTTGTAGTCCAGTCCAGATACGCCGCGCCGTCATCGTAGCCCAGGCAAACCTGGCTTTGAAGGGCATCATGCAAATGTTCGCCAATGCCCTAAGCCATCTACACATTGATTTGCAACGGTCCACGTCTGATTTCTCCGAAGCTGGGAGCTGCCTCTTTGATCTTGCCTGCAGAGTCAGGGACCTTGGCAACAATGACAACAACCTGCTCACATGTGCGAAACCTGTGCTTGCAAAGCTCGCCTGGACAGAGGAGACCGTGGCACCAAGGTCAAGGACCCGAACCTGCAGGAAACACCATATGTCTACAACACAGCACACCATCCTACAGTGAGGTTTCCCAAAACTACCTTGTGCTACTGCTCCAGCTTTTCGGCTCAGCTATACTATGCGATGCTATACATTACCATGTGTGACTTGTGGAAACGAGTGCTACAAAAAAGAGACTCAGAGTCAACTCTACACTGCGCTACAAAGCCTGGGCTTTCAGCACAACACCTACGATAGCCCACCTGAGATCACCTGAGTGTGACTGCCCATGCTCGTGTCTTAGGTACCAAACTACCATTGCGCCGGGCATCCTGAAAACATCACGCATATCACGCGACTCACGAAGCTGCTTGAAGCCGCTTACGCATACGACGCGCATACATCTTCGCTCACCATTCCTTGGCCTGTTCATCGTTGACACCAGTACTGCCTAGGGGGTTGGACTCTCTCTATAGGGTTTTATGCGCCTCAGACGTCGGCGTGTTTACGACCCAGATTGTCTTCCAATCAGAGTCGGGCCTACGAGTCTCATAAGCCAGTGGCAGAACAGGAGATCGGAAGAATTCAGAAGCCTGTCGCGGCAATGGGCAGATACTCGTGATGAATCGAAGGTTGTTGAAGGCGCATAAAACGATGAGTACAAGGTCTGCAAATCGTGATGCCCGTGCGCTGTCAAAACGGCAGCTGGCAGGGCGCACCGTCATCGAACCATTGCTGAGCGTATACGCTGTGATTGGCTTCCCCGAGTTGTTTCCGAACTCCACCGCCGGCGCACTCGAAGAGGATCCCATGGCGACGCGCGAAAATCCGGAGCTCGGGGCGAGGTTCAGGCTGGGCTGGGACAGTGAGAGCCGCTGCGGCCAAAGGCCAAAGGCTGCGCTTTTCGACGCCTGAAACGGAGATTCGGGACATCTGACCTGGTTTAGCATGAGCTTCTATCCATGCTAACCCTTGGAGCAAAAACACGGCAGAAATCCGTGGCTGAGTGACATGATCTCGGGACCTGGACGGAACATCGTAGCTGAGAGCTGCGGCCTCCTCTTCGAGATCTAGGAGTCGGCTCGACCTCGGCGCTAGCCGACGCGCCAGCGTCGCCAAGGAGAAAATCTGAAGAAAACCAGAGCTGGACTGCTCCTCCGCGTGGCCAGCGAGCATGGCGATCTCCATGCCTGATGCGAAGCACATTTCGCCACTCGCAACCCACCCTCAAGGCCCGGGCCAGCATTCCAAAGGCGCCATTGGCTTAGGCTGCTGTGCTTTGCAGCGGCCGTCTGCTTTCGCCACTGGCACGGGCTCACCGGGCTGAAGATGACGAAGCCAAACATTTCTCTCACATGCGACTGCGTCCCAACCCGTGCCGGCCAGGCGAGGATTTCGAGAAGGCCTGAGGCATTGTGTTGCTGCCGAGTTGCATTCTCGCTCCCGGATACTGATTTTGAGCCTCCCGCACATGCCAGCCTCAAATCGCTTCAGCTGTTCCGATCGCTGAGTGCTCCTTATGCGACATGGACATAAGTATGGACCCAACTTGATTTCCGCTGACCTCCACAGGCCCCGGCAGGATGCTTTCCTGCAGCCGACGCTTCTCTTCGATCTCCGCTTCGAACTCCACCTCCAGGCAAGACCTGCCAAGCGCCTGCTGGGCCTTCCGCCTGCGGAAAAGGAAGGCTTGGGCACTTGCCTCAGCTTCTGCACCCAGCTCGCCTGGCACGACCCAAGACTCTCAGGCTGCACTAGTAGCTGCACGGCGAGTTCAAGATGTTGCTGGCCGGTCGCGACACTTCTTTTTGTCACTTCCCCGCAGATGTTCCACAAAGCCTCTCCCTGAGAGAAACGATTTTGTGTCTGTCTGCTTCAACTTGCGGCAGCGACCTGTAGCAGGAAGCCCAGTCACTTTGTGACAACTTACCGCTAGCGGTGTTTACGCCTTCTTCGGCTTCGGCAACAGATGCAGAGAAGGCCTCAGCCTCATCGACTATAGCACTCAACACCTGCTCTGCTTGGCCACCCTTTCCAAAGAAGTGGCTCAGGCTGTGCCTATGTTGCTCTTCAATTCCAAACTTCCTACGCACGGAACTCAGCGGAGAAACCAGTTGCATAATCAAGCTTGCAATCGGCGGTTCAGCATCGCGATTCACAGCATGTATGATGCGGGCAAGTTCGGCCATCCCTCTCAGAAAAGACTTGTGCGCGCCCTGCTCCTGAATACTGTTCGGCAGGTGTTTGGATCCCCAGAAAGCTTTGCCCGGCCGACCGTTCTCAAATGTATCAGCCTGCAGCATCAGCAGAGCAGCCCCGAAGCCTGCAGCATAGGTCAGGGCCAGCTGGACACGTGGAGTCCACCAACTCGGACCGACCTTCTCGGCGAAACCGCCGAATGGGAGACTTACACTTTGAGGGATTTCAGGGACGTTGCAGCTTCGCCGCACATGGGGCAAAGGCGGCGCAGTCATGCTCAACTTCCGCTTCTGGCCAGAGCCCGGCGATTTGCCATTTCGCGGTGGTGGTGGAGTGGCTGACTTCCGCTTCTGTGCACCAGTGTTGTCGCTGTCGGTGCCATGGCTTTGCAGGGCGGTTTTCGCTTCAATCTTCACCTCGGCGGCAGCTTCACTCGACTTTTGAAGGGACCTGTCCGCATTTTTCGAAGCACTAGCAATGCAGTACATGCAGCAACAGAGTCAACGCAACCCAAGAGAAAGGACTTCTGGAAAAAGCACTCCTACCTTATGGAAATCATGTTGCCGGGTGCTGCATGCTTGAGAAGCCAGTCCTCCCCCACCCCCACCATCCCTTCTTGCTTCAGTCGAGGAACGAAAACAGGGACCGGCACCTGCTCCACTGTTGGTGCGCATTCCTGCGAGCCCTTCAAAGGGCCGTCGGCAGGAACGTCCCGTGCATCTTCTGGCTCTACGGACAGCTTGATCTTCTCGCCCTCCTGGAGAGGATCCGGCTTGGATACATGCCGATCATTGGAATCGAACGAAGTCGCGTCTGCCTGGACAGGTGCCTCGCAAGAAGCACCATGAGGCAGGTCGAGCAATATTTGGGGAGGTCCGCATATTTAACTTCGAGATGACGACAGACCTGTCCTTCTGCCTGAGGCCGTGGATCAGTGTGACCAGCCCACAGAACCTTTGATTCCCACAACCTTCCTTCCAATACTCTACGATCCCCTGCGAAACGTATCCACAAACAGTCCAACATCGTACGTAAAGAGTTTGAATTGGCACCTCGAACGAGATCCTGTTACCCACGTCAGCAGGAAGCGCTTGCGCCACCGTCGAGGCAAGAGGAGCGGCGTTTGGCACAGCAGGCGCGCCATCTTGGCTCCTGTGGGACGTACATACACACCAGTAAAAGCGCCGTCACTACTAGCAGAAACGGACGTGCTCAGCTTCACAAACAGAATCGAGGATATTCGAGGCAGGTCACTTGTCCCACAGAGAAAGATGTGCTTTTCCCGGAATTTCAGCAGTTTGGAAGCCGAAGTCAGCCAAGTCTTCCTGGAATTCGCACACCACGAGACTGAGCCGTTTCATTGCTCCTCCGAGGCATTCGAAGACTTTCTGTGCAAACTCCCGCTTCATGGAGGAGTCCAGACTCGGAGCTTGTACTGAAGATAGCCACAAGAAACCTGCTGTCCGCGCTCGAACACCGCATCGCTGTTTCAATGCATCCAGCGGCCGGCCAAACTCGTTGAAAAGGATCGGGGCAAGACTTCGCAAGGCTTCAGGAGCAGAGTCACAGCCACACAACTGCAGAAAGGAGTCGTCGCCCCCGCGGAAAATGTAAACACCAGTCAGATAGGCAACTTGCTGCCCTGCTTTGTTTCGCAGCTGCGAGTGCAAATCCTTCAGGGTGCATCATGCTCAGGGGCTCAGGAATGCCGCAGAAGGTCAAAGCCTCACTGGTAAACCCCATCCTACAGCCCTCAAGCCGAAGGCTTTGGACTTTGGACTCTAGACCCTAGTCTCGACAGCTCCATCAAACACCCTCACCAAAAAGCGTACCTTCAACTTACGTGCATCTTATGACTTCGAGTTCCGAACTGGGCTGGTTGGAGCATTCGCAGAGGACAACGAGCAAGTTTCTGGCAGGATCCACATCCTCGAGGCCAATGCTTGACTCTGCCATACGGAGATGCAGCGTGTAGTCTCCACAGGACAGCGGTGGAGGTTCAAAAGTCTCCGCGACTGCCTTGATCAGTGGAGGTCCAGCTGCCGCGCGTCTGAAGCGATTGACCCGATTCCTGGACACGGAGGCCTTGCCACTCTTGCATTGCTTCAACCTGCGCCCGACAAACCGTACCAGGTATCTCCAGGGCTTCCGCGGGCTTGCCCCGCAAAGCGTATCCTTCCTGTAAGATTGGCACGCCATGTATGCTGAAAGCTGCACCCGTTCCGGCATGCACGTTACAAAAGGATATGGTCCGAACAGCTATCAAAAAGTCTCGAGATAGCTTTACTATACCCTTTGCGAAGAGACTAGCAGAGCGCATCCGATGGTTAATGCCGAAATTATGAAGAATCAAACAAGACTTCCTAGGCCGTTTTATGCTGTTTTACTCCCTGATGGTTGCAACAGACGCGTGCCTGTCAAAATCGCTTGCTGGTGCTCTGGCGGATGCTGCACGGGGCTGCAAAGAAAGCTGATGCCTACTTATGAGGAAGACGTGGCTTCCGTGCTACACCGAGAGCCCCTACGATCATGGCGTCATGACAGGTCGCTTGGGCATGCACGGTGCGGCGGGGCTGTGCGGCTGACAGGCTTGCAGCGCAGAGCACTCACACATCATCCGAATCGGGCTCAGCAACGCTCTGCTGCAGCCTCGTGCAGGGCTGATCCGGGATCGAAACGCCCTGAGAAACGCCTCATCTTCACAACGTTTCACGGCATGTTGCATGCATGCACTAGCATGGCAATGCCAATCTGAGATTGACGCAGTCGCGACCATTGGAGCAGGCAACATGCAAGCGTGGCTCCTCAGTGCGAAACAAATTATCGGAAAGCGGCGAAAGCATGCGAAAGCATGCGAAAGCGGGCTGAGGGATCGGAGGGCCGAGCTTGAGAGCTCCAACTTTTTCACTATGCTAATCAGCCCATGGCAGGCCTCAGAGAGGTTACAGCTGTGCTCCACGCATCCGCGAATCTGCATTCTGCAAGACTCTACGTCTCGTGCCTCCTCTCGCCTCGCGCTCGCTGCACGGTCGAGCCTCTGGAAGCCGAAGCTCGATCCGTATATAGGCGAAGTTGCGAGACTGCAAGGATGATACCAGTACGGCCAAGCTCAGAACAGTGTCTGTTCCTCTTTTGCCTTGCGCGACCACTCTAACCAGAGTTGGCCAGTGTCAGCTACTGTCCTTGCAGTGCCGGCATGGGTTTAGCTGGGGTCACGGCCCAGCGCCAAGAGCGAAGCCTCAACATGACAGGCCAAGCGAAAGAGGAAGCAGCACGATACGGCTGGCAGCCACAGGGAGCTGTGCACTTTGCGCTTTGGGCGCCGAGCACGTGCACAAGTGTGCAGTGCTGGATCAATGCTGCTGATCGCTGCGCCTCAGCCAGTGTGGATCACCTACAGACCACGCGCCCGTGCAAATCACAGGGCGGCACAAGTCGCAGTCTCTCGGCTGCATGTCTTGGCTTCTGACCGACATTGCTCGCATTGCTCGAAGAAGTCGCTGCTCATGATGGTTTAGCAGCTTTTGCCGTCTGATTTGAGTCCTGCGAGATCTGAGATGGGCTTCTCAGGGCTAAAGCCTTATCTCCTTGCAGAATCATCCGAACTCTCAGCATCGACGGCGCATCTTTATCGACCGACACAATCTGAAGGCTGGATCAAACGTAGTCTGACCCAGGTCCTGCGCATTGCCAGGAACCTGACCGCGTGAAAGTACAGCTGCAGATCAACCCTCGGCAACTGCTCATGGACTAAGGCAGTGACCAAGTTAAGCACACGAATTCCTGAAAGTTTTTCTTCTCACAGCCTGAAGCCGAGATGGACATACGCAAGCGGGACAACATGTCGTGCAAACTCCAGTCTGCGGCGCGAGTCGCGATTTGCAAAAATGTATGAAGGCCCAGGCGGAAATGCAGAGTCTTGAATTTGACGAAGCAGGTCACGTCCTGGAATGAACCACGACGGCCGTGAGCCAGTATCAAATCGATCACCATGTTCAGCCCTTGCGTGCCTGGCGTTGCCGCTTGCAAACTGCAGCCTCTGGATGCAAGCAGCATCAAGCAGCTTACATCCAGTCCGCCAGAGGCCGGTATCTATATCGTAAGGCATGCATGAAGTATACTCATCTCGTGGATCAGCGACTGCTCGAATGCTGTGCTTCCGGGCCAGCTCGCACCAAGCGCGATGAATTGCTCGGAGCTTTGCCGAGTCTGATTGTCTCTGCATCGCGCTGCAGAGACTGTCCCTGGACTGTGAGACCCGGAGGATGTGCGTTCTGCAGCACCCGTGACAACGCATGACAGCACATGAATGCCTGAAATATCTAGGGTCGCGGCTTTCTGCGACTGCTAATCGCCACCTTTCCTGATTGGCAGGGAGCTAGACACGAGCTAAAGCTGTCAGGAGTTGAGGGTCATGGCGAACTCCACTCTGCTCGCATTTGTTTCCGAGGTGCGGCTGAGAAATGCCTGCTTCTTCCAACTCCGCCAGCATCGGAGCCTCACAATCAGCACTGCCAAACGACTTCTGCGACTTGCTGATACTGCCAGACTGTCGCCATACTGTAGCTGTAACAGTGCTAGGCTATCTTGCACCGCGCCAACGATAGCCCCCCAACATCCGCTTATCACAGCTTCTTCTGCTATTTCTGTCTCAACACGCGGGCTTCGCCAGTGTGTTTCGTCCCCAATGTTTCGTCCCTCACGTCCTGTCGGCCTCCTAGTGCTGCGTTAGCCTCTGAGCATCGTGAGCATCTTTGGGTGCCCATTCAACATCTCGTTTTGGGGTGAGCATAATGGAGAGTCTGCGATGTCTGCTCCTGCGGTCAAGGCGACCTACAACCGTTTCATGATTCCCGGTGACTGGAAACGGTCCCTTGAAGAATTCGCAGCCGTGACTCTTATCTGATCGCTCAATCTGCGCGGCGTGACAGTAGCGCGCCTGAGGAGATGTCTTTGTCCTCGAAGTAAACGATTTTCAAGTCTCTTCAAATGGAGACTCTTTTCCTGGCATACAAAGAGTCCTCGGTAGCACTAGCTGGAAAAATCTGCGGCGAGCCTCCGCTATGCACCGAGAGGACTCCTGAAGTGCCTCCTGTCAGGAAAGCGACTGACACAGCATCGCAGCCGAAAGAATGCTTTTTGTCGTGTCCCGGTACGAAATGTTTGCTGACGTAGCCAGTGGCTTAGCGATCACCAGCATTCTCATTGCCTCATTCGATAATGTCAATACAAGTATCAGCTGCTTCATCATGAAACTTCCTTCGCAAAAAGACAAAATTCCTGAATAGCTCGATGCTTGGGCAGCTACGGGTGGCTAGCAGCAATGTGCAGCACGCAGCTTTCCCCAGGTCAGCTTCTACTCGCGATGCGGCTTCTCGTGCAGTGCACAGGCCCTACAACCTCCTGAACACTTAATACTTGAAGTGCTACAGCCCGCATGTCCGCACCGAGTCGGAATGAAGTGTCCTCAATAACCTGTGGCATAACTTTCCTCGCTTTCATCTTTGCGATCTGCCGTATGCACCGATTTATTCACTAAGCTGCCTGGAGGCAATCCTGTTTCTTCTGGGAAGCAAGATGGATCAAGCACCGTATCGGATCTCAAAAGCATACCCGCTTTGCTGTGTCCCACTCTGACCTGACAGACCTGCCAACTTGTGAAAACTGAAGGCCCATTCCCACTAATCTGAATCTCCATCACGTTTTCCGAACCACGACCACTCTTCCCCGCGTCGACTACGTAGTCCACGCAACGAAAAATTGTTTGTTAAGTGTGCATTAAAGTTTCAGAAGTTTCTGTGACGTGGGCCTGGCTGTGTTCGCGAACAGCGAGCAGGTCTGCCATCATGGCAGCTCGCAACTCTTCCTGGGGTTTCGGCAAGTTCGACTCTGCAGAGTCCAGCGATGCCCCCATCGATTCGGCCCAGCTGCGCGACGAGCCACTTGCACCGCTTTGCACCAGCGGTGCCAGCATTGCAGCTTTGCCTCGGCGCGACCTTCGAAGTGCAAAACTATGCAAAGCTCAGCTGGCGTCAGGAAATCGCACATATGCGGAGCCAAGCCACCAAGGTCCACTTGCAACAAGTGCATGACCTCGCCCCAGACGCTCATAATTGGGCTGGCATGAGCCACAACATGCAACTAAGTTGGACGCATCTCAACAAGTCTATGGCAGCTCTAGTGCATTTGCGTCATCTGACAGACTCGCAGCTGAAGACTAGATTCCGCGATTCCGCAATCGCATGCAAACGTCACCGCTCGCATCCCGACTCTTCCTTTTCGTGTCGCTCTGCCTAAGCGCAACGCGCCTTCCGTGTACTGACTCCCCTTCTTTGTGTCCGCTGTAAAAAACTCGCTTTGATCTCTTCCTCGCATGAGTGGCTTCTCCTCCCTGTCTTCCACGGACCGTCCGGCTTCGGCCTTCTTACAAAGTGGCACTGTGACCAATTCTGCCAGGATCAGACAGCACCAGACAGCACCAGACAGCGCTACGCAGCGCTCAGCAGCGCTCTTCAGCGGATCGGAGCGGGGGAGCGCCTGCGTCCAAGCGGAGCGCGCTCTCCAGGCCTCGCAGCCGAGCCGAGAAGCGGCCCGCTCCAGAAAGGAAAAACGCGAGATGCGCTGAGTCCGGTGGCGCTCCAGCTGGCTTTCAACCAGGATCTCTGCTCATCCCGATGGTGTCTCCTGCTGTGTCGGGTCCTAAACTGTCATCCAGGACTGCGTCCCGAAAACGATGCCGGCAGTGCAGCATCTGCCCGAGCTGGGCTTGCTGATGCGGCCCCGGGCGCCGACTGCGGCTCCTGGTTGCTTTGCAGAGGCGCCAAAGACCGAGTGCTGTCCTTGGCTCCGTGCCTACAAAGCCCACTTCGTCTGGTGCCGCCACCTGTCACAGATCGATTTCAGGATTTGCAGATGGTTGCCATGGCCCTGGGCAGACCTCTGGACATACTAGACATCAATATTCCGGCTGCAGATCACTGCAGTTCTATCCACACCGGACGACTGCAACTGCGCTAAAGTCAAGCCAAGAAACTTGAAGTGCTGTTGCTTCTGGCGGCCTCGGATTGGACTACCACTCCTGATCGAAAATTGACAGCCGAGATGCCATGCGAATTGCCTTCGATCCGAACTCATCGTGCCCGAACAAGCCAACAAACGTCATGAGACTGCCAAGACTGCTGCGCAAGGATTATCCTTCTGATTCTGCCAGCGCTATCTTGCCACTGCAAGCACAAGTCTCCCAATGTACATTCTGGACAAAGCAAAACTGAGCCGCTTGCCGCATCTAGATGACTGCTCAAAGCCGCATCCAGGCCTCGACCCACGGGGGAAATCCAATATCCAATACTCGTGTGGCTGCCGCAACCGAGGCTGTAGCTTGACACCACCGCAGCCCCGATCCGGAGCCTGGATATCAGCTTCACAGGGAGCTCTCGGTGTGCCCCGTTCCTCTTCCGGACCTCCGAATGTGTGAGAACAGCTCGACTGCAGTCGAGGCCTGTGGCGACTTACATTCTTCATCACAGCAAGGCCCTGTCGTGGCTTTCACAAGAGCCGCTGACCTCCTCCATCGTCTGAGCCTAAGCCAAAGATTCCAAGGGCAATGCCAAGTTTTTTGGGAAGGGTGCATGCACCGAGCGCCGTCAGCTCGCTATGGCGTGGTCACTTCGTAACAGAATTTGCGGCCCAGCAGCGGATCACGGAAGCAGGGCGGCTCTCTCTGGCTAGTTGCAACATGAGAGCTGGCAAGACTTGCAACATCCTGCAACTGAATGATCTTTATGATTCCGAATCAGTCACTACCATGGGACCGTCACGAGGACAGAGTTCACACATGCATGGGTACCCTCTGGTATCCTCTGGTCCGTTGAAGCCCGAAACGGCTCGACATGGCTGAACGTCGGCCTCAAGCTTGCGCGCTAGCAGAGAAGGCATGTCATGTCATGTCGTTTTCCTCGTTCTGCACAGTATAGATCACAGGCAATCGCTGAGAGAATTGGGGCTTTGCCTCTCAGCCACAGGAGTGCCGACATGTCGGACAAATCAAGACTTCAATGCAAAGTCGTAAAATGTCGTAAAACAAAAAGGCGCTAGCTGGGAGTCAACCGGTGCTCCTGCATGATGCGTGTGAAACTTCTAGGCCTGGCCGAAATGATGTTTTTTGCTGTCTCTGCTATGAGCATCAGGCGAAGGCTGAGGATTGCAGAGCTGCTGTCGCGCACGCTCAGGGCTCAAGCATCGTAAGTCTTCCGCCGAAGTGGTTGAAAGCTTGAAGCGGGGCCCAGGCTCCAGTCACGAGGCCTTGGTTGTCGATGGACACCGTACATCCGTACGTGCCCTGTCCTTGCTCATCGGACCAACGTCCAATATCTAGCGCAAGCAGATGTAAGCCTGCGGTTAGAACCATCTTCGGCATTGGTGTTTGTCTGGCTTGGCGGATTGGCATTCGTGGCGTCATGTATCGTTCTGCGTCTCCGGTTGCTCTTTGACCTTTGTCAGTCTGCCTTGTGAAGGATTGGAATGGATGCTAAAATTGGAATCGATTTGTGTCTGTGCTCGAGCTAAAACTAATTGAGCTAAGGCATTGAGACATTGCTCAGGTCCACACGGTTCGCGAGGGCCAAGAAGGCCTCAATGTAGCACCGCCAGTTCCAGTCTGAGGAGGTTGAAATCCTGGCAGCCCGCCGAACCTGGCAAGACAAGAAAGTGCCATCTGTTGCTCGCAGACTGCTCTAAGCCTCTAAGCCGCGAACCATCTTTCCAAGTATTGAAGACGGTCTGCAAGCGAGCCCGTAGCTGCATGATGAGCCTGCATCTGGAAATGAAACGAAGGCCTGCGATAGACCGATAGACCCCCAAGCCGCCCCGTTGGCCCTCCTCGCCTGTTGCTTCTGCTCCAGCTCCGCCTGCCGGCTTGCACCCTAAAGGCAGGCAGGCGGGCAGGAGCCCTTCGGAGCCCGTTCTTCGGGCCTTGGCGGCACGCAGCTGGCCTGTGTGGTGCTCAGCCGAATCTCCTCACAGGTCACATCTGCCTCCTCGCATGAGCATCATCCCGGCCGCGCTGCCTAGAGCACGCTCCAGGAAGTCCAGCCGCTGCTCGAAAGAAGCATGCCTTTCGACAGTTGCCTGCACCAGTGAAGACAAACTACACATACTGCAGTTAGCCGATATAATCCCAGGTGCCTTCTGGCTCTGGGCCTGCATTTTGTGATCATCAAGGTTCCTCTTGTGATCCTCCAGATCTCTTTTGTGAGCTTCGAGCTTTTTCTCATGTTCATCGGCAGAGTCGCCAATCAGCTTCTCGATGTATTTCACCTTCTCCTGCATAGTCCCCATGAGGCAACCTGTGTCTGCAAGCATGAAAATTCGTGCAACAAAGGCAGTCCTCCAGAGACGCGTGCTGCTTGTCCCGGCCGTCTTTATGTGCCTTCAGCTCCCGGGAATGCCTGTCGGCAGAGTCTCCAAGGGTTTTCTCCAGGTAGCGCATCCGCTCCTCCAGTGTCGCGTGATGCTTGTCTCGGCCTTCTCGGAGTCCCTGCTCATCCGACAGCTTTCCATGCAAAGCTTCCAGTTGCATTTTGGCTTGCTTCAACTCCTGACTATGTCGATCTGCAGAGTCACCAATCGCTTGTTCCAAGAACTTAAGCCGCTCCTCCACAGAGGCATGCTTATCCTTCAGTGCTTGGGCAACATTCGCATGTCGGCCGTGAGAATCATCATGGCTGCGCCGCAGCTCTTCAAGCTGCTTGACGTGGGCTGCGTGCTTGTCTGCTGAGTCTCCCATCATTTTCTCGAGGTAGTCAACTCTCTGCTGCACACTTGCATGCTGCTGGTCGTTGGCCCCATGCTTCTTTCTTATGTCATCGTGGCTGCGCCGCAGCTCTTCAAGCTGCTTGACGTGGGCTGCGTGCTTGTCTGCTGAGTCTCCCATCATTTTCTCCAGGTAGTCAACTCTCTGCTGCACACTTGCATGCTGCTGGTCGTTGGCCCCATGCTTCTTTCTTATGTCATCATGGCTGCGCCGCAGCTCTTCAAGCTGCTTGACATGTGCTGCGTGCTTATCCGCCGAGTCTCCCATAAGTTTCTCCAGGAAGTCAACTCTCTGCTGCACACTTGCATGGTTCTGGTCGCTAGCACCATGCCTGTTCCTCATGTCGTCGTGGCTGCGCCGCAGCTCTTCAAGCTGCTTGACATGTGCTGCGTGCTTGTCCGCCGAATCTCCCATCATTTTCTCCAGGTGGTCAACTCTCTGCTGCATGCTTGCATGGTGCTGGTCGCTGGCACCATGCCGGTTTCTGAGATCGGCATGGAAGTCTTTGATGGACTTCATCTCGTCCTCATGAGCCTGTCGCAGAGCGTTCAGATCATGAGGAAGACCCATGGAAGAAAGGGCAGACGCTTGACGGCTTCTGCGACCTGAAGGATCATGACCACATCTTGACCTCCTGGGTGCTTACATGCAAAGGCAAGCGAAACACTGCACCCTAGCTGACACAGGCACCCGTGGTGAAAGCAGCAGTCAAACATTCAAGGCTGCGACGGAGCAGCGTTTTCAAGGACGAGATCTCATCTTTCAGCTTGGGCCTCGGCGATGGACACGTACCGTGGCCAATCTAGCATCGAGGGAAAGGACAGGAAAGGAAAGGAAAGAAAGGCTCGTTTTGGCCGCGGGCAAGCTCTTCTCGATAGACTCGATGCGACTGCCCAGCGAAGTATGATGGACATCCCTGTCCTTCAGACACAGACCACCTTCAATCGCAAGGCTGAAAACCTCAGCCCGGCCGGACCCCCTATCCACGGCTCCTGGCGCTCCCTTGCGAGGATATCATCCAGCCTCCAGCACGGACACAACGCACACGCACGGCGGCGTGTCCCTGATGTTTCCGGCCAAGAGCCACGCTCATTGGCATTGGCCTGCTGCCTCTGGACGATGGCCTCTGCCGTGCTTTTTTTGTCGATGTCTTCTGTATTTGCTGTTGCGGCCCTGCGGCCTTGGTGTCTGCCAGCTCCTTGCGCAAGGCTGTAAAGTCAGATCGGAAGGCTGTCGTCCTGTCATAATTCCGCATCGCATCTTCTCAACACTCGACATCTCTCGGCCGTTTATCACAATACAGGTCGGGCTCACTGTTCTCTGATTAATCGCAATTGCGTCTGATGGATTTCCAGCTCCTCTACTACTGCAGCACGATTATTCGATGTTGGTGCCAAGGTGAACCTACGGGTATGGCAGGTTCACAAGCCATCGTTGTCATGAGAACTTGACATGCGAGTGGATCATCTGGATGCATTCCACAGCTAAAGCTGTGCGGCCCTGATTCCTTGGCATCCAAGGACTCAATCTGCCTTTCCCACTCTGCGGCCTTTCGCTGCACTTCCGTAGAGAGCTCCTGTCAAGGTTCTGTGTGAGCACCGAGGACAAAAGCACCACGCCGTCGAAACTCGGCTGGCGGACTTGGCCGGAGTTGAAGTTCGCCGGAAAGCTGGTCTCTCGCAAACCGAAGCCGCTGTAACCATATCCTCGCGGGTCAGACGTCGGGGCCATTGAACACGCTGTGCGCTCTGCCAAGGACTCAGCCTCCAGATGGCAGTTTCAAGGTTGGGGAAGAGATCGTCGCGTCAGGACCTTGACAGAGCTTGCACAGCGCCGTGGCAACACCCCCCCAGGCCCTAGGACACGGCAAGCCAAGGAGCTCTGGCTTTGAGATATCTTGAACGCGCTTGGAGACAAGCTGTAGTCTGGACCTCATCTACGAGTCAGGTATAAGGGTGGGCATTCAGTTGGTTGACGTGTCTGACAGCTAGAACCCACACAACGGCCGGCAAGATGGTTTGCAACTTGTTCCAACCTCCTCAAGCCGGCCTGTCAATGTAGACTCCATCATTTTGTGCCTTCAAGCATGCCTTCCACCTGGCAGTATCCTCCCTCTCGTCGCAGCACATGCACATGCCCAGGAAAATTCTGAGGATACCACTTGGTACGTGCAAAGAGCCCAACCCGGCAATGTTTGGTGTGTTGCTTCCTTCCGAGTAGGCAGCTCACACACAGCGATGGCAAAGCCCAAAGGTGAGTGGCGACTTCTCCCCTCGCGTCCTGGCCGTAGCGGCGAAACCGGCTCCATGATTTTCGTGATGCCTGCATAGCGGCATAGCGACGTAAACGGGGCCTCGAGGACCGAGGAGGGCCGCGAGTCAGCAAACAGCACGGGTCCGACTTCCCACAGCAGCTCTGCGATCGCCAGTGACGATATTCGATGGGTGTGCAGCCCACCCTGATCTTATTTGCCACCTACCCTGTCCACAACTTCTGGATCATGCACCTCGGTCTAGAGTCTACAGTCTAGAGGCCCTCTTCGAGGATTGTGATGATTGGGCTCGCGGGTGGAGGCCCGCATCCAGCCCTGCAAGCTTCAGCTAGGGATCAAGCTGCTGACCATGCTCTGCCATTCTCGTGGTGTAAGTCGTCCAGTGCAGAGGTCATATCGTGTGACATCAACGTATACATATCCCCGCAGCATTCAAGGCGCTTTAACCCCAGCATCATATTCGCAAAGACCGTCAAGCCCGAAGTGGC